AAATAAGAGCATATCATGAATGAAGTTAAGTAACTCAAAAAGGAAATGGAATATCATTGTGTGAAGTTTCTGACATATAGTTGCCCAATGATATTGTTTTATCATGCAGAACGCTTAATTTTCAGAGTAAAAGGTTTACACCTTGATCGATATAACTAGAAACCAGGTTTAAGGACTTTCTAACTAAAATGGTAAAATATGTTCTATGGTGAAACTTATAATAGGTCATGTGAAAAGTTGGACTGAGTTACAAAGGGTGTTCAGAGACTCTTGAACGTGTCGTATAAAGAAACTTTACTCTTTAACAAAGTTCTCTATTTTCTCACAAGTGCAATGCAACATTATGCCACAGTTCTAGAATTTTTACAGTTTCCTTTGATCTTTATTGTTACAACCATCGCTAGAAACTACTAATGTCAAGTCAAATGGTGGAAGCACCTCAAACTCAAGTTACTTCTAGTTTGACTGCATCAACCAAGATACAGGTACAGCGTACACATGATGGAGAAAGATATATTTTAGGCGGGCTCTAGATTAGAATAGAATTAGATATAAGATTGTGGGAAGCGAATTGAATCGAGTGTTAAGGTACCATACTTGAATCTGTCTTTTAGTCTTACAATGCAAATTTGTATTCGCATTGAATCCTAAACTATATTTGTATTTGATTTGATTTAGCATATACTCAAATAGTTAGCAACTACTTGACTACAGAGTCCTCTTGATTAAAGAATTTGATTCAATTGATAATTCCCAAATTCATATTCATGAATTTTTCATTTACAAGGATTACGCTCGAGTCCGCAATTTGATTAATTTGATTAAATAATTTGATATGGGAAACATTTATTGCAGCATATTATGTAAACTTTTCCCATGTCTGATGCACAATTTAGACCTATCATCACAGAACTTATCAGAAACACAAAACTTCATGGTAGATTGTATATGCACGAAATGAGTATGTGATAAATTGACAATCTAACAAATCCAATATGAGCATCACATTAAAAAATGAATATTATGTTTAAATGACCATTTGAATCGAATTCGAATGAGTAGTTAGATGAACAATTCCCAACCTATTTGATAATTGGTTGGTTACCTCTATAAATAAAGATTATAAGTGACCTTTTTCTATTAATTTTCACCCCCTAATAAAGATTCTGTAAGATCTTAAAATATTAAGACTCACATGAAAAGTTTCTTAAATGAGATGGATAAATAAATCAATCAAGTAAACAAATAGACCTAGTTGCTTATGAATGAGAAGGAACATAACAAAGGATAGAAGAGTGCCATGTAACAGATACGCCAAACAAAAGAAATTTACTAGTAACCAGTGAACAAGAGTAAAAACAGAGCATCTACACCTCTAAACATACCAATTCCACCTCATCTTATTTACTGAAGTATAGGGAGATCATATGACTTTTTTTCCTTCAAGACATTGTCCAAATCTAGCTCAGATTTTAAGGTGCATTCATGTTCCTGCAGGGAAAGGAAATATGCTAAGCCAATCAGAGAAATCTCACCTGCTTATATGAAAATGTAAAAGACTTTATTGATCTATCCTGCTTCATGATATATCAAGAAAGAGTTCCGGTATGCCAACTGAACATCATATGTCCTAACACTTATTCAAAGAAAAATAAAATCTCTCTAAAAACACCAAACAAACACCATAATTGGATCTTACCTTTCAATTTATTTCAGCTGAAAGAGAATTAAGCATGAATTGTTGGGGGCTACCTTTTCAGGTTTATAGTGAAAAGAAGACAGATGAACTTAAATGGTGTTCTCAAGTACGAATAGATTGTAATTCTTTTAGAGCATGTTTGGTAATTGGTGCCTTATAAGCCACTTAGAGATGCTAGGTAAATAGCTTATTTTGGCTTACAAGCCACCAAAAATTAATCTAGGGTACTGTAGCTTATTTTTGGTGTCTTATAAGACATGGGATTTGACCAAATAAAAGACAAATATGTGGCTTATGATTTCACAAATTTGAATGTCTCGTCTAATAACTCACCATCTAATCCGTGTCTTTTTTGGTCATTTTCAGAGCAATGATGGATTATAATTCACCCATTTGCCAAACATTCTACTACTGAAAATAGATTATAATCCACTAAATTTACTAAACACTCTAGATTATAATCCACTAGGATTATAATCCATTTTGGATTCTAATCTAAGTGGACGATAATCCAAAGTTTCCAAACATGCTCTTAGTCTCACACCACTAGGAGTTCTCCAACATGACTAGTGTATCACGCATAAATATAGAATTTATCTAGCATTTTATGATTTTATTTTTTATTGTTACTTACAGTTTCAAAAACTTTATCGCTGAAACTTCCACTCTTTACTGCAGCAAATCTATCATTCTTCTCTTCTTCCAGACTTTTCTCAGAATAGCAGAACTTGAAGGACATCAACAGGTTTGTTTTCAGCATTATGACAAGGCCTCTCTTGTCCTTAGCTTCCAAATCCTCACACAGTGTCGCTCCGTAGCTGATCCCATCAAAAAGCCTAGTTGATGAAGAGCCAGATAACAGCGCTTTCAGGAGAGAGGATTTGGAAGAAAAACTTCATAGAAAATTCATGTAGACCACAAACTGAATTTCTCTGACTGCATACAGCATAATGCTATGAGTGACCATGTGACCACAATAACACTTTTCCTGGGGTATAATATAGTGTTATATAAATTGTGATGATGCAGAAATCCCAAAGAAATATGTTATAGAGGTGATAATACAGAAGTCCCAATGAAATATTGCATGTCCACGATGCAGGGTGCAAAATGGCACTTTAGTTCCGATGCAGTGTCCAATTAATAAAGGCTTCAATTGTACGTCAGCACCTCAGCAGGTTCCTGCTTTCTGAAAATGAGCACTATATTCCGAGAATGCATCTTGGAGATAGCTCACTTGGAGAAAGCCAAAATCTAGTTACAACCCAAATGCTTTCCGAGAATGCATCTTGGAGTTAGCTCACTTGGAGAAAGCCAAAATCTAGTTACAACCCAAATGCTAATTGCGTGGTAGATAAGATGTTTGATAGTCTGCTGTATAATATCATGCATGGAGATGTATACGCGAAAGGGGATGAAGTTATCAATTTATAGGAAGTACTGAAAACAAACTCTAATATCTATCAAAAACATACAACGGTGCTAATTTTTATGATAAGAATTTCTAACCCTCGTAATGATATGAACAAACCTGCAACAGTTCACTGTAAACTTAAATGCCCAAGTGCGGTTTGTATGGCATTATTAGAAGCTCAGAGAACCACCAAATGCATTCACATATCACTTGATTAAAGTCCTAAAGTATTATGATAATATATACCTTGACAAGGGCCCAGTCCTGAATTTGAAAGTGATGTCATGTAAAAAATAATTGAAACGTTACGAAATTATGGAAAGAGATTTGTCGTTACCCTATTTTATATGTTGGTCAATAAACCTAGCATAGCATGACTATGTTTCATAAAAACGTTAATATTACTATCACTACCCAGTTTTATATGTTGGTCAATAAACCTAGCATAGCATGACTATGTTTCATAAACACGTTAATATTACTGCATCGTTACCGAGTTTTATATGTTGGTCAATAGACCTAGCATAGCATGACTATGTTTCATAAAAACATTAATATTACTACGTTGTTTATTTAAGCTGAAGTGAACAAAACATAAGCCCAGGTGATTTTTTGAAAGGGAACACTGGACATTGATAAACTGAATCAGTTTTTCATGTTTATTTACTGATATTCAATAAACAAGATAAAAGACAGCCTCTTGGGATCTTGACCGTCCAACAGTTTTGTCAACAAAATGAAGCAGTTTTTCATGTTTATTTACTGATATTCAATAAATAAGACAAAAGGCAGAACCTCAATCAGCTAGTATTTCAATATATCTGGAGCTGCAAAAGTTTCAATATATGCGGACAACTAAACGGTCAAAGTCTACTCCTACAAAGATTATCATGTTTGTTTATTCTCTTGACAAAACTCAATCACTTTATTTGATTTTGTAAAATTCCGATTTGATCAAATATGGATGGTAGTGTTATTGGACCGAAAAGTTGGAGAAAAGAACGAGTTAGACCTTTAACTTTACTTTCCTTACATCTAAACAATGAAAATGTACGAGATAACTATAGCTTGACATTTCGATTAAGCAATATGTTTATTCAATTTAAGCACACATGGCAACTTTCTACTGAAAAGTGAGTCCATAGAGCTTTTTCACTGCTAAGCATCCGAACTTGGGTGATCTATCCATGACCAAGATGAAGCTCAGGCGAAACAAAATCTAGATGATTTGCAACTGATGTCGGAGATCACCATATGATGTCGGAAACTATAAAATTCATAGTGTCCATATCTTGTTCTAAATGCAGTCTTCAACACATCTTCATCCTTAATCTTGAGCTGATGATAACCAGGTCGAAGGTCAATTTTCGAAAACACCTAGACGCCCTTCAACTGATCCAATAAATCATCAATCCGAGGCAAATAATATTTATTCTTTATAATCTCATGCTCCCATCTTTCTTCTTCACAAAAAACACTGGAGCACCCCAAGGGGATACACTCGGCCTGATGAACCCCTTATCTAACAACTCCTGCAATTGAATCTTCAACTCCCTCATCTCTGTTGTTACCATTCGATAAAGTGCTTTTGAGATCGGCCCTGTTCCAAGAATCAAATCAATACCGAACTCAATCTTCCTGTCAGGTGGTAGTCCTGGCAAGTCTTCAGGAAAAACTTCAGGGTATTCTCGGACAATTGGAATTTCATCCAAAATGACTTCCTTCTTCTCGGTACAAACTACACTAGCAAGATAACCCTGACAACCTTTTCTTAGAAGTCTACAAGCTCGCATAGCTGAAATAACACATGGAGCCTGACAACCTTTTCTTAGAAGTCTACAAGCTCGCATAGCTGAAATAACACATGGAGGTACACTAACACCCGTCCCATCGAAACAAAACTCGGACTCCCCAGAAATTCTGAATGAAACTCGCTTCTGAAAACAATCTAGATATGCATGATAAGTAGAGAGCCAATCCATACCAAGAATAACATCAAAATTATGAATATCAAGTAACACAAGATTCGCAGGCATGGTTTGATCTCCCACTACGACCTCACATCCCTTAAAGATGTGATTAGTGATTATACAATCGCCAGATGAGGTAGTAACTGATAGCTCAGATTCTAAAAATTCCGAAGTTCTACCTAACTTACTAGCAAAGTTATGAGATATAAATGAATGAGAAGAACCAGAATCAAACAACACATGTGCGAGCTGAGAGGAAATAACGAGTGCATCTGTAACAACAGAGTTAGATGCAAGAGCATCCTGCTTCATCAAGGCAAATACTTTCCCTTGTGCCTTAGATTTCTTACCATCACCAGATGTAGGCTTCACTTTATGATCATCAGTCTTGGGTCCATTCTTTATTGGACAATCCTTCGCAATATGTTCCTGCTTGCCTCACTCATAACAGCCTCGAAATAAAGGACAAAAACAACCTTTGTGATTATTACCACATCTATAACACTGTCCATCATGCCTATGAATAGGACCTGTCCTCTGCACAAACTGTCCCGATCTCTGTACTGGAACTCCTGACCTCCGAAATGCTGGCTTCTTAAAAGGCCTAAAAGCTGACTTATCTTTCTGATTACTCTCATCCCTTATCCGCTTCTTCTGGACCTAGTTCTTATTTGGTTCATCCGCAATCTTTTCTCCCTTGCTTTTTCAGCCCTTTTTGCTCGCTCCACTGCCTCCTCAAAAGTCTTTGACATAACCAGTGTAACCTTCGTATGGATTTCTGACCTCAGCTCATTTTCAAACATCTCTATCTTATCAAATTCTTCTACAACTAGCTTAGGTGTATATCGAGATAATTCATTAAACTTAGCTTCATATTCTTCCGCTATCATGTTATCCTGCTGCAAATCCATAAGTTCTCTCTTCTTGCAAGATCGGACATACAAGGAAAATTTTTCTCCCTGAATAATTTAACAAATCTGCTCTAAGGAACATCCTCCCCCTCAAGTGATAAACTGACCTCCTTAGTTTCCCACCAAATCTCTACATCTCCCTCCAGCGTAAAAGTAGCATAAATAACTTTTTGTTCCTCTGAACACCCCAAAGCTCTAAAGTACTTCTCCATTTTCTTCAGTCATTCCTGTGCCACCGTTGGATCAGAACCTCACTGAAAAGACGGTGGAGACATCTTAAACTTTTTAAAATCACTGCCAATAAGTTTAGTCTTCTTTTGTATATCTAGTGCTTCACTCAGCTTCTCAGTTGTCTCTGACTGCTTTTCAAGGATCTCCATCTGCCTCTCCATGAATCCACTCTGCATCTTAATAAAACTGGTGAGTCCTTCAACCCCCAACTGGGCTTCGATAATCCCTCTCGCAGTCCTAGCAGTACGAATAGTCATACCCCCACGAGTTCTTGGTCCAGATCTTCCCCTGGCATTCCCATTAGGAGCCTCATTTACAACATTAGGAGGCTCGATGTTTTGCCAACCTGCACCGTCATTTCCACCATACCTAGTCCGAGGACACCTACTCGATTGGGGTATACTCGAAGGTAGCGTAACCCCCACATTAACATCAAGTCTAGGAGAAGAGCGCCTCGCTGCAACATTAGAGCCTCTCTTGCCACGAGCCATCTCAATCTAACATTACCATAAACAAATATGTTTAGTATAAAATATTCATCGTATTAATCATTATTAAATTAATTCATAACATATTCATCACAAGCATAAGTAATCAAATAATATTCCCATAAAACACATACACTAGACATGCCTTAAACTACCCGGACTAAGCATTTTACCTTTAAGAAAACAAAACTAAAGAAATTATGTGATCTATGGCTCTAAGCTTATATACCCCTATACCTGAAATTTGATCTGATAATGTTTATATTATCTCCGATCACACTTCAAAATAAAATATCAACTTTTGTTTCTATGCATCAAAATCCAATATATATATTTAGTCACTCCAAAATCATCTAGGAGCTACAACCTGACACAGAGATTGAGTTCGCTATTGATTTGATTCCAGGAACAAGGCCGATCTCAAAAGCACCTTATCAAATGGCACCAACAGAGATGATGGAGTTGAAGACTCAATTGCAGGAGTTGTTAGATAACGGGTTCATCAGACCGAGTGTATCTTCTTGGGGTGCTCCTGTGCTTTTTGTGAAGAAGAATGATGGGAGAATGAGATTATGTATAGATTACCGAAATTGAATAGGGTGATCGTGAAGAATAAATATCATTTGCCTCGGATTGATGATTTATTTGATCAGTTGAAGGACGCCTAGGTTTTCTCAAAGATTGACCTTCGATCTAGTTATCATCAGCTCAAGATTAAGCATGAAGATGTGTCGAATACTGTATTTAGAACAAAAGATATGGACACTATAAATTTTTAGTGATGTCATTCTGATTGACAAATGCCCCAGCTGTTTTTATGGAGTTAATGAATAGGGTATTTAGGTCTTATCTCGATCAGTTTATAGTTGTTTTTATTGATGATATTTTGGTCTACTCTTGAAGCCGGGAGGAACATGAAGAACACTTAAGAACTATTTTGCAATTATTTTTGGAATACAAATTGTATGCAAAGTTGAAAAGTGTGAATTTTGATTGGAGTGTCTCATTCTTGGGGCATGTTATTTCTAAAGAAAGGGTGTCAGTGGATCCTTCAAAGATCGAAGCAATTGTTGATTGGAAGAGACCTAGCATCATGACCGAGATACGAAGCTTCCTGGGATTGACTCGTTACTATAGAAGGTTTATCGAGGGATTTCCCCGCATTGCAGTACTCTTGACTTGATTGACTCAGAAAGGGGTCAAGTTTCAGTGGACGGAGAAGTGTGAGTAGAGCTACCAAGAGTTAAAAGATTGGTTAGTGTCCGCACTCATACTCGCGATTCTTTCTGGATCAGATGGATTTATGATATACAAAGATGATTCTCATATTAGCCTCGGTTGTGTCCTTATGCAGCATGGGAAAGTAGTAGCATATGCATCCAGACAGCTTAAATCATATGTAAAGAACTCCCCAACACATGGTTTGGAGTTAACTGTTGTTATCTTTGCATTGAAGATTTAGCGGCACTATTTGTATGGGGAGACTTGTGACATCTACACAGATCATAAGAGTCTTAAATATATTTTCATACTTAAAGAGTTAAATATGAGACAAAGGTGGTGGTTGGAGCTAATGAAAGATTATGACTTTAATATTTATTATCATCCCGATAAGGCGAATGTGGTAACTGATGCTTTGAGTAGGAAGTCTAATGCTAGTGTTGCCACTTTGATCACAAATCAGAAGTATATGTTGGAGGACTTGAGGAGACTTGATATTGATATTCGACTTTGAGGATCTGGAGTGATGTTTGCTCACCTTAAAATTCAGCGGTTTGTGGCAGCACAAAATGATGATCCAATTCTTGTAAAAATTAAAGCAGATGTGAAACGGGGACTTTAACATAATTTTATAGTTCATGATGGAGGTTTGAGATTCAAGAATCGCTTGTGTACCTAATAATCCGGAATTGAAGAAAGAAGTCCTAAATGAGGTGCACTGTTTGGCGTATACAGTTCATCCTAGGTCGACGAAGATGTATAGGGATTTGCGAGAGATATTTTGGTGGAATGACATGAAGCGGGATATTGTACAATTTATGTCTAAGTGATTGGTGTGTCAACAGGTCAAGATTGAACATCAAAAGCCTGACGGACTACTTCAGCCTCTTCCAATTCCTGTGTGGAAGTGGAAGGAGGTAACAATGGATTTTGTGACCGGTTTTCTTAGGAGTCAGAATGGTAATGACACTATATGTGTGATTGTTGATCGGCTTACTAAATCAGCTCATTTCTTGCCTTGTAAAATCATTCATTCTCTTGAGAAGCTTGCTGAATTATATGTTAAGGAGATTGTATGATTGCATAATAGAATACCGATGACTATTATATCAGATAGAGATTCGAGGCTTTGTTCTAGATTTTAGCAAGTCTGAATAATGCTTTGGGAACACAATTGGGTTTCAACACATCTTATCATCTGCAGACGGACGAGCAATCGGAGAGGACTATTCAGAGATTAGAGGATATGCTTCGTGCTTGTGTCTTGGATTTGAAAGGCAACTGGGAAAAACATTTGCCTTTGGTGGAGTTTGCATATACAATAGCTATCACTCTTGTATTAATATGTCCCCTTATGAAGCATTGTATGGTAGAAGATGTATATCACCTATTTGTTGGGATCAGGTAGGAGAAAGAAGGCAGCTCAGTCCTGAGATAGTGCATATTACTACTGAGAAGATTCAACAGATACGTGAGAGGCTTCGTATAGCTCAAAGAAGACAGAAGAGCTATGCCGATAATAGAAGAAGAAAGTTGGAGTTTGAAGTCGGCGATCATATTTTCCTTAGAGTATCACTTACTAAGGGAGTGATGAGATTTGGAAGAAAAGACAGGTTGAGTCCGAGGTATATTGGATCTTTTGAGATTCTGGAAAAAGTTGGAGCTGTAACATACAAAGTTGCCTTGCCTCCAGAGTTAGCAAAAATTCATAATGTCTTCCATGTATTAATGTTGAGGAAGTGTATACTTGATCCGAGTCACGTATTGAATTATGAGCCTCTTGAAATCAGGGAAGATTTGACATATTCAGAGTATCCAATTAGAATTTTGGACCGAAAAGAGCAAGATTAAGGTTAAGAATTGTTAAGCTAGTGAAGGTTTTATGAAAAAATCATTCAATTGAAGAAGTTACTTGGGAGCATGAAGATGAGATGAAGGAAAAATATCCTAATTTATTTAAAAACCCAGGTATGTTCAAGTTTTGAGGACAAAACTCCTATTAAGAGGGATAATATGTAATAATTCTAAGTTTCTTGGCTATATATATAAGGAAAAGTAAAGGGACTTTTGTGCATAAATTGTTAGAGGGTCTATTAGTAAAAAAGGGCCTTTATTAATATCCAAAAACCATATTTCTTTGATTCCCGTCAGCCTCTTCTTCCTTTTTCCCGTCCCTGTTCCGTTGCACACGCATATTAAAAATAAAAAGAAAACTAAAGCAGTGACTTTCTCGAACCTTAAGGTGCGTACCTGGGAGGAAAGGTAAACAAATAAATCCAAGTTTTACCTTTATCTAATCTCCATCTTTTGTCATATATTTGAATAGAAAAATGCTATAGAAAAAGCAATTGTAGTAATATTCTATTACAGCTATAGGCATTGAATCAATATTTACTTAACTGTCGTGCGACATGGCTCTAGTAATTCTTTATAGAGTATTTTGGGGATCTTAGATTTATATGTTAGATTGAAAAATGTATTATTAGCATATGTGTTGATTATTCTAATATATGTTTGAATCTTAAGGTATACAATAACATTGATGGTTATTAATATGTATTCTTTAGGGGTTCCAAATGACTCCGATGAGGTGTTGTGAGGGGTGGTTGGATTATTTTTTCGGACTTGAGGTAAGTGGTGAATTCATGCATAGTGCACTGCGTATTTTCCATATAAATTATATTAATCATATGCGAATTTATTTCTGATGGATTATATCATGATTTACTCACATGTTAATTGTTGATTGGATGAATACACGTGGTTATTTGGTATAAGCCTATGCTTATTTTCTTTGTTAATTGTTATGTCTTTTCATATAGTAGTAGAGTGATATGCATATGTGGTTGATTGATTTCACTATTGGTTAGTCTTTGGCATTTTTGTATAACGTATTTAGTTTTACGAACTTTATTTAATTTTCTTAAAGCATATGCATCTCAGCTCAATATACTGGTATATGTTGGATATAAGCAAGTTATTAAAACAGGGTTCAATGTGCCTCTATGAGTTTTTATTTTAACGCTAACAGCCCAAGTTGGGATCTCACCGTCCCGACCACGAGCTATATAATAGTGGGGTTTGCCAAGTCAACCGGATTATCGAAGTGTTGACCGCATTGAGACGTGACATGCTTATTTCCATTGCATGTATATATTTTGAAAATGTTGCATTATAATTTTTACTGGTTTAGTATTTTGCTTATCAAGTCAATTTACTTTTAATTTTGTAAAACTAATGTCTAATGTATGAATTTATCCACTTATTGAGTTGTGAACTCATTGTGTTGTTTTCATTCTTTTCAGAGACTCGCGATTAGGTGGATTTGAGGATTTGTCAAATTTTTAGAACGGAGTAAGGAATATAATTCGAGATTGTTATTGTCTTCTAGGCGAAAGTTAAATAAAGTCTTTGATGTTTAGTTGATGAATTGAGATTTGTAATAATGAGATTATTTTTCCTTTAGGTCGAGTTTTATTTCAAGTTGAGGAATATTTGTTTTTATCAAGTTAATTGGATTAATGTTGACTTTTGGGATTATAGAGAATATTTATTGCTGGTTTTAGTTCAATGAAGATATTAGTTTGATGGTCTTTTAATGAATGCATACTTTGGAGGATTTTTCACAGGTTTATTCCGGCTTCAATCTTCCTTTTAGGTTTGGAATTTAGGGTCGTGACAAAAACCACCATATGATTTCTAGTCAAGGGTGAAATGCTACTAAAACCCAGAGCTAGCAAGTTTTCTCAGCAATGCATAACATCTATGACTATGAGTAAAGCACCGTTCTATATGCGGGCTGTAAGACTGAGGTAAACTTCGAATACTAGATATGAGACTCTGCTTAACATGTCACATGCTCCCTATATAACCAAAAATGGACGTTTCTCCCATAGTCATCAAGTTTTTTTTTTAAATCATCGATGCCTTCATGTTTCATCATCCTCTTTGGAAAACAGTATATTTTAGACATTTTTCTTTATCCTTTGATTCCGTTAACGGTAAAATTCCAAAGCTAAGTAAAATTCAGAACGATGGGTGAAGGTGAATACTAGATATGAGTCCAAGATTACAAGGGTTAATTCAAATTTTAACTGTAAAATAACAAAAATGAGAAAAATACTATGCAACAACAAGATTTCATGTATGCAACCAAAAGATAGGGGAAACCCTCTATTTTACCCATTATCGAAACTAAAAGTGAAAGAATTCCAATAAAATGGTAAATTAGAAAAATCACCAGGTTTTCAAAGTTGCGAGCTTGGCCATGGTGGTAATCGGATAATGAGGACGTCGACGTCATCCATCATAATCATCAACAACAATAACCCTAGTTTTGAGACAATTTCAGGAATTGGAGACAAGTAGTAATTTCAATGATTCGAGGGAATAAGTTTAAGACAGGTTATGAGAATTGAGAGAGCTAAATGTTAACAATGAATTGAGGGACTAAATCAAATATTAAATATTTAAGGGACTAATATAGAAGCCCCAGTTTATTTACGGGACTAATTTGTGAATTTTTAGAAGTAGTGAAAATAGTATTTTTTTTGTTTGTTTCATATATTTTTAGAAGTAATGGAAGTAGAACTTCTTCTTCTTCCTTTATTTTTTTTGTTTGGATAACATTTGGAAATATTATTAGGAAGTAATTTTATCAATGAAAAGTTATTAGAAGTAACTAATTAACAAAGGAAATATTAATAAAAAATTTATTTATGTCATAATTAATATGCATTTCAACTACTTCCGAGCTACTTTTGAGTATTGAGGATTGGAAAAATATTTTGAAAGTAAGGATGACACGTAGGCGCCACATAAGCATTTAGGAAAGTATTGGAAGTAAGTTTTTCAGAGAACCAAACACATTTTTTTGTTTGGAAGTAGCAGAAGTAGCATCTACTTCTTTTACTTCAGCTACTTCACAATTACTACGACGAGATTTTTTTTTCCTGTGTCTAGTTTTATCATAACTTTAATATTTTGGTGTAGCCGTGGAGATTCTTTAATTTGGTATTAGAATAACTCATTTTCAAATCTTATTCACCGTCAATTCAAGCAGATTTTTTAAAAAAGTATGGTAATGACCTATAAGCCTATATTTCGATTTATACAATGAGACCCAGTTGTAGTGACATGTTAAGTATAAAATTATAATCCTCAATTTTCATCACAACTACAGTATAGTTGTTTTCAGTGTAGCGACGGGTCCTTCAATGCTTTTTTTTTGTTTGTTCAAGGACGATAATTAGCACTTAAATACACTATAGTTTCCCTTAATTGGCGCTTATATCACCCTCGCTTGTTATTGTCAGCATTTATACGCCCTAAACTTCTTAAAATTTGAACTTCAAGATAGTTGTGTTACGTAAATGTGAGAAACTTTTTTGTAAATTTTTCTACGCGAAATTCACGACCTAATTTCATTACTCTTTGGCTCTTAATTCTTATTTAATTTACCGTTAAGCCTACCATAATTCTATTTTAATACGTAACTAGGGGACAAATCCATGAAACAAGCATATAAAGTTGAGTCAGGAAACCAATTTCTACCTCGTCTCATTACATTATATATTAAGTACTTAACCATGAATTTAAAAACAACGTAATTGCATGAGAAAATGTACCGTGATGTATATATACAAGGGAATTTTTTTAAAATAGACCACTTTTGCAAAATATTTAGCAAAATAGACCACTTTGCTAAATATTTAGCAAAATAGACCTCTTTTTGGCCAATAGGCCAAAAAGATGTCGATTTTGAAAAACAAGGCTCAGAAAACATACGGGACTACTAGTCTCGTATATTTTCTGAGCCTTGTTTTTTAAAATGACAGTGATTAAGTTGGCTCTAACCATACAGGACTAGTAGTCTCGTATGTTTTCTGAGCCCTGTTTTTCAAAATCGACTATTGGCCAAAAAGAAGTCTATTTTACTAAATATTTAGTAAAATGATCTATTTTGCTAAATATTTAGCAAAAGTAGTCTATTTAAAAAAATTCCCCTATATACAATGGAAACTTAGTAGCCTCACAACGACAATACGCAGCAGTTAAAGATATTTCTGCGGCCGTAGCTCCTCAACCAGCCACCAGTCCCAGTATGGGCCACAATCCTTACCCGCAAATTACACACAACTGGATATGATATGCTTGCTTCATTACCAACTGGACCAATAGCTCTCTAGCTATCAGATACGCCAGCCAATCAAAACCCATTTCAAGATTTGCTCCTTCATCCTCCTCGACCACTCGCCACCACCCCACCTTTAATAACTAAAACTCCCTCCCATTTCATTCCATTCCATTCCATTCTGCAGCCTTCTCTCTGACAGTGGATTGAGGAGCTGCGCCGTAGTGTACCCGAGCCTGCTCTCGTCTTCGAAATCGCAGTTTGCGAGCTCGCTTGCACTTCCTGGAACCAATGCTTCGTCGAGGTTCTCTATGTCGGCTGAGTGGATGCCTGGGCAGCCAAGGCCACCTTACCTCGATGGCTCTGCCCCAGGGTAATAATAAGAAATTGATGATGAATAATGTCACAGTTGATGTTTTTGGATTTATTTATTTTTTTTCTTCTTCCTCTGATTTTTTGGTGTTTTTTTGTGGGATTTTTAGGGATTTTGGTTTCGATCCTCTTCGGCTTGGAGAAGTACCCGAGAACCTGGAGAGGTTTAAGGAGTCAGAGCTGGTCCACTGCAGATGGGCAATGCTTGCAGTGGTAAGTCTATCTCGTTTCCTTAGCTTTACTGTGTCATAGATGGGTCTCAATGCAAATTAATTGATGGAAGAAAAATCGAGAAATAAAGTAGAATTACTTCGACCCTCACTTATTTGCTTACATCCACTAAACAAAAGTTCTCAGTTTACAGAAGTTTTTTTTTCCCCTGGCAACTAATCTGCAATTTAGCCTTCACAAGTTACCAATTTTAGGAGGAAAAAATTCATCAAAATTATACCTGAACTTTTAAAAACTGAGATTTAAGTCGAAGCTTAAATACCAGAAATAGATGCATGCCGAAAATTGACTGCACTGGTATTATACCTATCACAAATCCCTGTCACAAAAGCTGTTGCAGTTCCAAACTCAACAACGGTAACTTACATTTAAAAAGTTTGCATTTTTTTGACATATTCTCATTTAGCTGATTTCATCCGTGGGCACGTCTAAGTTTGCTGGACGTATACATGAAACTATTGTGCACATTTAGTGTTTAGAGATCACAAAGGATTGCTGTAAAAGAAACTACGTAGCAAAATTCACTTTAATTGGCATTGAATCGGATTAAAATCTTAAAAACATCTATTATATTATTATCATCAAATTTCATCCAAAAATGTTTGTCGTATTTTTGCAGCCAGGGATCCTGGTTCCAGAGGCTTTAGGCTTAGGAAACTGGGTACAGGCTCAAGAATGGGCAGCAGTACCAGGAGGCCAAGCAACTTACTTGGGCAACCCAGTTCCATGGGGCACTCTCCCTACAATCCTCGTCATCGAATTCTTGGCCATTGCCTTTGTTGAGCACCAACGTAGCATGGAGAAGGACCCCGAGAAGAAGAAGTACCCTGGTGGTGCCTTTGACCCCTTAGGGTACTCCAAGGACCCCGAGAAGTTGAAGGAGTTGAAAGTCAAGGAAATCAAGAATGGTGAGCGCTTCGTTGCCTTAATAAATTTATGGGGTTTTTTTTTCTCACAGGAACCTTCTTTAGGATAGGTCAAATTTCACGTTAAAGTTTAACTAATACAGAAACCACCTAACTACCTTAGACCTCTTTTTCGACGAAATGTCGATTGAAATTCCTCAATGTCCTTAAAAACACATATGCCAGCACTAAGTTTTGATTTAGGTATGGTTAAGAGGACATGTCACATGCCTGACACGTGTGATTTTTAAGAGCATTTGCTGATCTCAATCAAAATTTAACCGAAATATAGGTCAATGGAGTCAATTGCTATTCTAACCCCCTTTTAAGATGATTTCAGTATTAATTGAAGTTTAAATGTGATTTTCACATTGTCACCCTACTTTTAATATGGTTTCTGGAAGAAACAACAACCCCAAATTAATCTTCAAAGTTCAATGCTAACTGTATTTCTTGGTATTTTGTGTTTATGTACCAGGTCGTCTTGCTTTGTTGGCCTTCGTGGGATTTTGTGTGCAGCAATCGGCCTACCCTGGAACTGGGCCACTCGAGAACCTGGCAACTCACTTGGCTGATCCATGGCACAACAACATCGGCAACGTTGTGATCCCAAGATCCATTTTGCCTTGAAGCGCCGATATTTGTATCACACTGCAAAACTATGAGCAATCATGTGTACAACTCATCTCTGTATCGTGCTAATGTATAATTTGAATATTACATTTGATGATCATGACCTAGCCTCTTTCATAAATGTGCATGAAGTTTCCGTCATCATCTAAATAATGTTATCTGATTCCATGCTTGTAACTAAATGGATGCATGATTGCTGGAGGAGTTAGCAAGTGACATCACAGAGTTAGGTCTATAATTGTACGTGAGTTAATGATTGAGTTCTGGCAGCTGCAGTTTGCACAACTTGCTTTATAATAATGTCATTGTAGGTAAGTTGATGATTACGTTATGAACAACTTACTTCATAGACTGATGAAAGTGCTGAAAGCAAGCTGCACATGAATTGCTGATATTGTAGTCTCAGGCTTATAATGTTGAATTTGGTTTCTGCTGCGCTACAGGCAATCCAAGAACGACAATATGCAAGAAAGCAAAAAATGTTCAATAACTGATACCTAAAACATAATGTTCCATACCTTCAAAGAGGTACACTCAGCTGATGTTAGAAACCATGCTGATATTATACAGAGAAATGATTTCTTCTCTCTGGTTTATCTTGAGTGAAATGTGAGAATAAATGCAATTCACGGGACGTAATATTAGTTCAATTAGCAATGAATCATGGCCGCCAAAAAAATTATCAGATATAACGTTTCAAATTGAAGAGGTGAGTGTTTCATAAGTTTCAGTTTTAAGTTGAATAATTAGAATTTATTGTCCAAAATGTCCATAAGAAATAGTCTGACGACATGTACATTTTTCCCATTTAAATATATAAATATGTTGTTAGCACTAGTAGAAAAACACGCAAACTAGACGGAAAAAAACCATATAGGTTGCACGGAAATCCGTCTAGGTAGAGCAACCTAGACGGAAATCTGTCTAGAAAAGTCCGTCTAGGACAATTCTGTCTAGTTTGAGTCAACCTAAATTGAATTCCGTCTATGTTGATCTAACTAAATGGAAAGTAACCTAGATGGAATTCAATATTCCATCTAAGTTGCAACCTAAACAGAATTTCCATGCAAATTTTTTTTCAAAATGCTTATTCCCTGTACATTTTACATTATCCAATCAAAGATAATTCATGTATATTTTATAAACATATCCAATCAAATATAATCAATATTCATATCCAATACACACATCCAACAATCCAATCCAAAATACACACATATCCAATCAAATATAATCAATATTCATATCCAATACACACATCCAACAATCCAATCCAAAATACACATCCAACAATCCAGTCCACACACATCCAACAATCCAATCCAAAATACACATCCAACAATCCAGTCCAATATACACATCCAACAATCCAAACCAACATCCATTTCAGCAAAAACCTATCTTATCTGAATATTTACAACAGATATACTGGCAATACCAAGTCAATAACACGAGGTAAATAAAATAGAGTACACAAGATGAATAAAATAGAGTACTATTATAGATAAAAATTTGTTTAGTGCATTAAAACTTAAAAAAACCTCACATCTCATCGTCGTCGGCAACGGCTCTATTCCTCACACGAAAATCACTGCTGCTTCCTCCAATATCTCTAGTCTGAAGGTTAAATTGATTATATATTCGAATCATGTAAAGTTCGATAATATATCAAACATAAATGGTTTGTAATATACTAGTCCCTTAGATATTCAATTTAGCATAAGTTTTTTAGGATTTTCACTTTTATAATAATATGCAGTTATTAAATTTTTTGGGGACTTCCTTAGTATTTCCACTTTAATGAAAATAATGTGCAACTATTGAATATTATGAGAACAATATATAACTTTTCGTGTAATTTTCTACATTTATGGGAGTAATATGTAAATACAGAAGATTTAGTGAACTCATAATAATATAGTATGTGAGGGGAAAAAAGATACATGTATGTTGTTCTGCCCAAAGCCGGTATTACTAGCGCTCGAGTTTATAAGTGGTATAACATCACCAAACATATCAGCGGGAATCATACCAGCCAAACAACTTATAATGTAGGACATGACCTCGTCCATCGTGCGAGCCCCCAACACAACACTACTCATCTCCTTAGTCACCTGAACGTGCAGTTTTGAGTCAATCTTATTGGACCGTAGAGGGGGGTGATTAGGGTCTTGAGGCAATAATTGTGCAATAAAAATTAAGACAATGCAATGTACCATAAAATGAAAAACCAAAATAAATGAGATAAGGTTAGAGATCGTTATCCAAGTGACGCGCGATGTGTTAACGAGGTTCAGTCCGCTGACCTACGTCCCCGCTCCCCACTCTCGAGGAGAATCCACTATACAACCCGGTTTGGAAGCCGGAACTTCTTCTACACAACGATCTCCATGAGATCTCACAACCACACAATTGATCTCCACAAGATCAAGCTCACAACAGTAGTAAATGGTGTAAAATCTCTCTCTTTACAGTAACCCTGTGGCAAGAAGAAAGATCACATTTGAAGCTTGGGATGTGAACTTGAAAATAGTGAAAAACAGGAATGAAAGTTTTGGCTCTTTTGAAAATAATAAACTAAACACCAAGGATTTCTAATAAGCTTGGATGGCTCTGAAGAAGGGGGTTATGAGGGTTTAAATAGGAAGAAGAACAGTAGCCAAAACTCATACCCAAATCCCCCAAAATCCCACAAAAATGATTTTCTGATTATGTACCAAAACTGACCGTTGGGCGATCGGCAGTCGACCGTGAGATTTTCGCGATCGACCGCAAAGGTTTCCAAGGTTAAGGAAAAGCTGCTGCAAAGGCTACGGTCGACCGTGGAAACTGCTGTAATCAGTTCGGTCGACCGTGACGGTCGACCGCAGGAGTTCCCGAGCCATCTGAATAGAGGCGGTCGACCGTCATGGTCGACCGCATTAGTTGTTGCTGGCTCCTGAGGGGAAAACCCTGGCGCGGTTGACCGTGGCGATCGACCGTGAACTGATACAGGCTGATATCTGGTTTAAAACTGTTTTTGACTCTTTTAAAAATATGTAAAAATACTCAAATGTTTTCTAAAAATTGTATAACTTTGTAAAATGTTTTTAACACCAAAAACAAATTGTTTAGAAAAGGAATTTTGCGAATAGGTACTCATACTTGTGAAAAACTATATTTTATCAAAACCGTCAAAAAATATGAGTATGAAAATGTGTGTGTGATATCCCATTAGCTTCAAATGAAATCTACAACTACTTGCCTATATTCTAGCATTCTAGCACTAGAGAGAAAATAAAAATAGCAAATATCTCTCACATAGAAATATATTTCTTGAGTCTTGATATTGCTTTAGAGTTGATGAAGCTTCTCATTACGTTTAGTGTTCTTGATTAAACATTGCTTCATCACTATGCCTCCTCTTTCTTTGGATATCGTCGTTGTAGCTCATATTCCATCCAATCCTCCATAAATAATACTAACAAGCTTGATATATATATTAACTATAATATCACTCAACAAGCAATTAGTACGGATAATGATGGTTGTAAATCATCATCAAAACATAAGGGCTAACAATCTCCCCCTTTTGATGATGACAACCAACTATTATATTGTAGCAAAATAAATATAGCTTATAGATAGTAGCTTCCTCTATCTATGAGCTCCCCCTAACTATATGCAACAAATGAGGAGATTTCTCTCCCCCATTATCACCATCAAAATGGGGTAAATGAAATGGTAAACAAAAAAATACATATGAAGTGCAACTAACCAAGCAAACAAACAAAACTTTTACATAGTGCATAAACCCAAATCATTTCTTATGTGACAAAATTCATCTTCACTAAGAGGCTTGCTAAAGATATCCGCTAATTGAGATTTAGTGTCAATATAAACAAGGGATACATCTTGCCTCTCTATATGATCGCGTAAGAAATGATGGCGCACATCAATATGCTTGGTTCTAGAGTGCAAAACGGAATTTTTTAAAATATTTATAGTACTAGTGTTATCACAAAAGATTTTTATATTTTAAAAATTCAAATCATAGTCAACTAAACTTTGTTTTATCCATAAAACTTGGGCACACCATAATCCGGCGGTAATGTATTCTGCTTCCATGGTGGACAAGGCAACATAATTTTGTTTCTTGAAAGCCCAAGAGATAAGAGAGTTACCCAAAAATTAACATGTACCACTCGTACTCTTTCGATCTACCTTACATCCGGCAAAGTCGGCATCACAAAAACCATAAAGATCAAAAGAGGTGCTTTTTGGATAAAATAAACCAAGATCAATTGTACCATTGATATATTTAATAATTTGTTTAACCGCAATCAAATGGGACATTTTTGGAGAAGCTTGAAAACGTGCACAAGCACACACACTAAACATGATATCAGGTCTACTAGCGATAAGATAAAGAAGACTACCTATCATACCTCGATAGAGTTTTTAATCTATATCCTCACCACTATCATCCGCATCAAGCTTGATACTTGTACTCATGGGAGTTGGTGCATGCTTAGAATTCTCCAATCTAATTTTTTTTACCAATTCTCTAGCATACTTGCTTTGAGAAACAAATATCACATCCGTAGTTTACTTGACTTGGAGCCCGAGAAAGAAAGTAAGCTCTCCCATCATGCTCATCTCAAAATGATCTTGCATAACTTTAAAAAATTCCTTGCATAAAGATTCATTAGTAGCACCAAAAATGATATCATCAACATATTTTTGAACTAAAATAAAATTATTTTTCCTTTTTCTCATAAAAAGTGTATTATCAATTTTCCCTTTAGAAAAATCATTTTCAAGAAGAAAACTAGAGAGACAAGTATACCAAGCTCTAGGAGCTTATTTTGACCCATATAAAGCTTTTTGAACCCGGTAAACATGATTAGGGAATGAATGATCCATAAAACCAGGGGGTTGCTCAACATATACTTCCTCTTCAATAGATCCATTTAAGAAAGCACTTTTCACATCCATTTGAAATAATTTAAAACTTTAAAACTTGCAAACGCTAAGAACATTCTAATGGATTCTAACATTGTAACCGGTGCAAAGGTTTTATCATAGTCTATACCCTCCTCTTGATTGTATCCTTGGGCAACTAAACGAGCTTTGTTTCTCGTGACTTTGCCATGTTCATCAAGTTTGTTTCTAAAAACCCACTT